AGGTTCTCGCAGCGCAAAAACCCCAAACCCGTTCCAGGGCCCGGAGGGTCCCAGCTGTTTGGGCGGGGGCGGGAGGAGGGTGTGCGCGCGACGACACAGGGACTGGAGCCGGGTCCATCGCATCTCCCGGGAGGCCCGGCACAGGGTGGGCAAGGCCACGCCGCTCCCCCAGCCCTGAGGGAAGCGCCCGGCTCCAGGCCCTCGGGGCGGGGCTCCTGTGGCCCCGGCACCAGGCCGTCTGGCAGGGAGAGCGAGCGAGCAAGGCCAGACCCCGGGAGTTGGACCCGGCTCGGAACTTACCATGGTGAGGGCGGTGGTGGTGCGCACCTGCGCTCCGGCTCCACTGGGGATAGCGCTAGTGTCAGGGGAAGGGGAATAGCGGCCGCTCCAGACCTGCTGCCCCCCTGACAGGGGCCGCTGCCGCTTCGCCTCTTGCCAAGATGGCGGCCTGGAGCCACGTCTCCAACCGGAAACGGCGCGGGTCAAAGGGCGGAGGGCGGGGCGCCGTGGGGTGGGGAAATTGTGGGTACCGGCTGGTTCGCCAAGGATGCAAGGGGCCTCGCCCCCCAAGCCGTGGAACTTCATACTTCTGTCTTTTCACCGTTCGTCAGAGCTTTCATTTAGTTTGTGGTACCTCTTACAGTTTATAAAGATCTCACAGCCACTATATCATTTAACATACAAAATAACCTGTGTGCATAAGGGACTAGTATCCAGAATATATAAGGAACTCTTACTACTCAACAATGAAAAGACAAATAGTCCAATTTACAAGTGGACAAAACAGACATTTCTCCAAAGAAGATAGACAAATGACCAATAAGCACATAAAAAGATGCTCAACATCCTTAGTCCTTAGGGAAATGCAAGTCAAAACCACGATGAGATACTACCTCACACCCACTAGGATGGCTATAATAATAATAAATGTCAATGAGAATGTGGAGAAATTTGAATCCTCATACAACGCTGGTGTGAATGTAAAATAGTGCAACCACTTTCAGAAACAGTTTAGCAGTGCCTCAAAAAGTTAAACAGAGACAGCCCTGATTGCCTAGTGGTTAAAGTTCTGTACACTCTGCTTCTGCATAGGGTTGGGTTCCTGGATGCAGAATCACACCAGTTGTCTGTCGGTTGCCATGCTGTGACAGCCGCTAAGGTAGAAGAACTAGAAAGACTTACAACTAGAATGCACAACTATGTACTTGGGTCTTTGGGGAGAAAAAAAAAAAGAGAGGAAGATTGGCGACAGATGTTAGCTTAGGGTGACCCTTTCCCAGCAAAAAAAAACAAGTTAAACATATAGTTACTATATGATCCAGCAATTCCAGTCCTTGATATATACCAAGAGAATTAAAAACATAAGCCCTCACAAAAACTCCTACGCTAATGTTCATAAAACTTTATTCATAATAGCCAAAAAGTAGAAACAATCCAAAATGTCCATCAATAGATGAATGGATTAAAAAATGTGGTATATTTATACAATGGACTATTACTCGATCATAAAAAGGAATAAAGTGCTGATACATTATACAACATGGATGAACCTTGAAAATGTTATGTTAAGTGAAAGAAGCCAGTCACAAAAGACCACATCTTATATGATTCCATTTATGTGAAATGTCTATAATAGGCAAATACATAGGGACAGAAAGTAGGGCTGCAAGGGGCTGGAGGAGAAGAGGAATGGCGTGTGAGGTTTATTTTTTGGAGTGATGAAAATGTTCTAGAATTAGATAGGGGTGGTGGTTGCACAATTTTGTGAATATACTAAAAACCACTGAATTGTACACTTTAAAAGGATGATTTTTTGTGTGTGTGTGAGGAAGATCCGCCCTGAGCTAACATCTGCCAATCCTCCTCTTTTTGCTGAGGAAGACTGGCTCTGGGCTAACATCCGTGCCCATCTTCCTCCACTTTTATATGGGACGCCACCACAGCATGGCCTGACAAGCGGTACTCGGTGTGCGCCCGGGATCCGAGCCGGTGAACCATGAGCCACTGCAGCAGAGCGCGCACACCCAACCACTTGGCCACTGGGCCGGCCCCTAAAAGGATGAATTTTTATAGTTTGTAAATTATATCTTTAAAAAATGTGTGTGGGAAGCAGGGAAGTTACTGTGCTTATGTCCATTTTGTAGATGAAGAAAATGATGACAAGTTTAAGAAATTTACCCAAGGTTGTAGGCCAGTATATAACGGAAACAAGACTCCAATCCAGTCTTCTGATTCTGTTGGTAGTTCTCCCACGCCAAATGTCAGACTTAGAGAATATGTGATTCAGCAGTTCTTCCCTATATCACTGGCTCGACTCTGCAGCACATCCATTGCTGCAATAATGGATAAGCAGCCATCTTTTATTGAGTGTTTATTTTATGTCAGGTATGTCAGGTATGTTATCCCTATTCCTTTACAACAGTCCAGATAAGGGCACAGGATCAAAGAAGTTAAGCACTTGCCCAAACTCACACAGCCAGTAAGTAGTAGAGCCAGGGTTCAAACCCAGCTTTTCTCATTATGACACACTGCCTGTCTATATCTCCTGTGTATTCCTTAATGTTTATTGAACACTTACAAGGTAGCAGGCATTACTCTAAATTCTTCACACAGATCATCTCATTTAATCCTCACAAGAATTCTCTGAGATTGGTACCATTAATATCTCTATTTTACAGGTGGAGAAACCAAGGTACAGAGAAGAAAGCTATTCTACCACAGGTCTCAGAGCTAGAAAGTAGCAAAGCCAGGATTCGAACAAAGGCTGCTCAACTTCAGAACCTATAACCTTAAGCATGGCATTATAGAATTCTCACTGTTACTCATTTCAATTCCATCTCCAATGACTTTCTAGTAGAATCTTTACAAAGCTCATGTATTTTTAAACTTTGCATGTCTGGAAGGATATATGTCAAACTGTATTGTTTATTTTTGTTATAAGAAGCACATGTATTTTTAAAAAGATGAACAAATTCTTAATTTAAAAAAAGTAAAAATCCTGCCTGGAATTATTGCTTTATTGAGGCAGCTTCCAGGGGCCTTCAATATGGACTACCGAGGCTCAGGAAAGACCAGTTGATGCTGATTCTTTGGAAATATGATAGCAGCTGAATTAAACTGTGGAAGAAATGCACCCTGCAAGCATGCTTCATGAGGAGCACCTTAGAGGCAGTAGTCATAGTGGTTAAAAGCAGAGACTTGGGAGTTAGACTGCCTTGTGTTTGACTCCCATTTTCAGCACTTACTAGCTGAGTGACTTTAGGCAAGTTGCTTTAACTCTCCTCAGCCTCAGTTACCTAATCTGTAAATTGGCAGTAACATCTATCTCATAAGGTTGTGAAGATAAACAATATATTAATAAATAAAATTGTATAATCTAAGTGCTCCTACAGGGTGTGGTGGTTAAGATTTGGCACTCTCACTGCCACAGCCCATGTTCCCTGACTGGGAACCACACCATCTGTCTGTCTGTTGTCATACTATAGTGGCTGAATGTTGCTGTGATGCTGAAAGCTATGCCACCGGTATTTCAAATACCAGTGGGGTCACCCATGGTGGACAGATTTCAGCAGAGTTTCCAGACAGACAGACTAAGAAGAAGGACCTAGCTACCCACTTCTGAAAAAATTGGCAATGAAAATCCTATGAATAGCGACTGGCCCAGTGGCATAGTCGTTAAGTTCATGCGCTCTGCTTCGGCGGCCCAGGGTTTGCAGGTTCGGATCCCCGGCACAGACTGCACCGCTTATTAAGCCACGCTGTGGCAGGCATTCCACATATAAAGTAGAGGAAAATGGGCACAGATGTCAGCCCAGGGCCAATCTTCCTCAGCAAAAATAGGAGGATTGGCAACAGATGTTAGCTAAGGGCTAATCTTCCTCACACACACACACACACACACACACACTCACCCCCCTATGAATAGCAGCCCTGAGCATTGTCTGATATAGCTCTGGAAGGTGAGAGGATGGCGCAAAAAGACATGGCAGAGTTCCGCTCTGCTGTACACAGGGTTGCTAGGAGCCTGAATCAATTCCATGGCACTAACAATACATATCCATTATTATTAGCAATAACAGATGACAAAAAAATTTTTAAATGTTTTGCAGTTCCATTTTTAACCAGAGTGTCTCAGAAGAGGTCTCTCGTTTTCTTTTTAAAACCACTTTCCCGCTTTCCCCTGACAGGTTTTCAGGGTCAAATTTCCAATATTCCTTTCTTTGTTTCTCTCTCTCTGACTCCCAAAATTAACTGTGTCTATAGTTTTGGGACATTTGTTCCTTACATCTTCATTCACTCATTCCTTCATTCATCCACTCAAGAGCATTTTTTAAAACCAGCATTTTTTTTAATAATTTTATTTGTTTATTTATTTTTTTCCCCTAAAGCCCCAGTAGATAGTTGTACGTCATAGCTGAACATCCTTCTAGTTGCTGTATGTGGGACGCGGCCTCAGCAAGGCCAGAGAAGCAGTCAGTCCTTGCGCGCCTGGGACCCTAACCGGGGAGCCAGCAGCAGAGTGTGCGCACTTAACCGCTAAGCCACTGGCCGCCCTTACCAGCATTTTTAAAGCGCCCAATTTATGCAACACACTGACACTATGAAGAGGTTAAAAATTTAGACCCAGGCCGTGCCCTAAGGAAGCTCAGTCTTCTTTAGCAAATAAAAATACAGGACACTGGGTTAAATTTGAGTCTCAGATAGATAAACAACGATTTGTTAACGGATGTCCCATGCAACAGGACATCGTGGAGGGAAAGGACTATAATATAATATAAATGCTATAAAAGGACGTACAAAGTATTCCCTGGAGATTTTGCCTAAATTCTGATGAGACTGATTTAGTAGGAATTGCATGCCCAATGGTCCTTGGGGCGGGGGGGATGCACGCGGTATTTCCAGGTTGGAGGGCTAACTATACGAACCGAAATTCCTCAGCCCGCTTTTTTCACCCGTGACCGCTAGATGCCGCCACAGACGCATTTATTGAAACCATAGACAAACAGGAGACTTGATCGCGCAGAGAGGCTTTATCCGAGTCCCTCTTGATCCTCCTCGGATCCTTCTCTGGAAGAGACGTAATGCGCAAGTGAATGGAGAAGGTCTCACGAGAGTGAAAGCAAGTCTCGCGAATTTTTTTTTTTCTGCCTAGCGACTGACAACAGGCCGGTTGCTTCAAGTGGAATCCCTCAAGTGGCCTAGCCTGAGATTGGAGTGAGACTCCAGCCTTAGGCTGGGGTTCTTTCCATCTAGGGGAGACGGATTCAGAGGGGCTACAGGTAATTCGTACTCACCCTAGCAGAAAGAGAATTCCCTTTCTCCCTCCCAAGAGGAATTTTAAAGGACTCCCCTTCCCTCTCCCCAACCCTCTCTACCTCTTTCCATCTCAACAGCTGTTCTTTCTCTCCCTCCTTCACGCCACTACCAACCGTACTGCTTCCTTTACTCCCCAAGAAACTTAAGTGGGATCCGACCTGCAAGACGGGGAGTGTAGATGGGGATGATGCTTTGGGGATTATTGGCTGGGACCGAGAGACTGGAGTTTACCCTCTCTTACCCCCGACCCCCGCCACGGGGTGACCCCAGAGAGAACTCTTTCTAGAGCCTCTTCAGCCTCCCCTGAGAAACCCCAACAGCCTTGGGAAAACCGATCGAACCTGAGAAGAGAGCCGCCATCTACAGAGGAATCCTGTTCTGCCCTTGCGCGGGGTCTTGTGTATCTTACAGCTTTAAGGAGCTGCTGCAGAAGTTGGCTGTCGTTTCCCTCATTCCTCAGCCAGCCTGCCAGCAGTTCCTAAATGAAGAGCTGCAGCAGAATGACTTAACTGCTTGACTTGGGGCGAAGAAGCCTTAAGGAAAGTTTGAATGGGGGTGAAGGTTTCGCGTAAAACTAGTGTCATGAGTAAGGAAGAGGAACCAATGCTGGTTTGGAACGGTACTCCCCACAGAGTGCTTAACGTCCCGTGATATGAGCTATGTAATCATGTCTCCTTTTGCTTAGACCAAGATTGTTGAAAACCAGACATACGATGAGCGTCTAGAGATTAACGACTCTGAAGAGGTTGCAAGTATATATACTCCAACCCCAAGACACAAAGGTAAGAGAGGAATGAATGAAGAGGAAAGAAGAGAAATGGTTCTCAGAACAAAGGGCAGGATGGATTCATGATTGTCTTCAAGAAGTTCCTATTTTATAATAGCAAATGTTGGCTTTCAGAGTCAAGTTACTTCACTTGCCATTGTTTCTGTTTTCTAACTAATTAAGAGGGGAGAAAACACAGCCATCCAGAATACAGGATCTTCCTCTAACCTGTCCGCTGTACCCTATCACCATTTACTTTCTCTGTTCACAATCTGCCAGGGGTTCATGGTTTTTTTTTTTTTTAACTTATCAAAACTGTTTTGCTCAGTTTTGAAGATGCTGCAATAACCTGCCTTTAACCTGCACTTCCAATCAAAATCTCAGTGGGATATTTTAAAAGGACTTGACATCATTATTTATTCAACAAACATTTTTTGAATGCCTACTATGTGTCAGCCTCATGCTTGGCACTAGGTATACAATATTAAAAGAGACATTGACCCTGCCCTGCCATCCTGATGCTTGTAATCATGGGAGATAGATGACAAATGAGTAAACAAACATCACTGCAAATGTGGTAAGTGCATTGATGGAGGCAGAGTTTGATGTTATGAGGAATAATGGTGAGGAGTGGGATCTACTTTTGATAGAGTAGTCAGGGAAGACCTAAGGTGGTGACATTTGAGCCTGAAAGATGTGAAGGATCCAGACATTGAGGAGAAGTAGGCCAGGAAGAGGGAGCAGGCCCTGAGGCCAGAAAGAACTTGGGTTAGTTTGAGGACTTGAAAGAGACCAGTATATGGTAGGGGGCGTGGTATCACAGGTGGCCGGGCAGGAGGCATAGCAAGCAGAGCTGTTAGAGGTCGTGTGCTGTTTTGTGTGGAATGGATTGAAAGGTGCAAAGGTGAAAGTAGGAACCAGTTGAAAGGACTGTTGCAGTGGCTGATAGTGGCTTGGATGTGATGAGGAGGTTGAGAATAGACAGAAGAGGCAGATACAAGATATACTGTTGTAGTAGAATCACTAAGACTTGCTGATGGATTGGATTTGACTCCTGAGTTAGGAATCAAGAATGACATCTAGGGTTGTTTGTTTATTGTGGTAAATATACCTAACATAAAATTTACCACTTTTACCATTTTGAAGTGTACAGTTCAATGGCATTAAGTACATTCATAATGTTGTGTAACTATCTCTACTGTTTCTAGAACTTTTTCATCATCCTGGACAGAAACTATACCCGTTAAACAATAACTCTCCATTCTCCTCTTCCCCCAACCCCTGGTAACCTCTATTGTACTTTGTCTCTATGAATTTGCCTATTCTAGGTACTGCATAAGTGGAATCATACAATCATACATTTGTCCTTTCATGTCTGGCTTATTTCACTTAGCATGATGTTTTCAAAGTTCATCCTTGCTGTAGCATGTGTTCAAATTTCCTTCCTTTTTATGACTGAATAATATTCCATGTATGTATAACCACGTTTTGTTTATCTATTCATCTTTTGATGGACAATTGGGTTGTTTCCACCTTCCGGTTATTGTGAATATGCTGCTATGAACATTGGTGTACGGTTCATACAACCATTGGTGTACAGGTTCATACAGTATCTGTTTGAGTCCCTGTTTTCAATTTTTTGGGTATATGTAAATATACCCAGACACCCAGGTTTTTGTTTTATAATTTTATTTATTTATTTTCCCCCAAAGCCCCAGTAGATAGTTGTATGTCGTAGCTGCACGTCCTTCTAGTTGCTGTATGTGTGACGTGGCCTCAGCATGGCCGGAGAAGCGGTGTGTCAGTGCGCGCCCGGGATCCAAACCCCGGGCCACCAGCAGCGGAGCACGCGCACTTAACGGCTAAGCCATGGGGCTGGCCCAGACACCCAGGTTTTTGACTTGAACATGTTTGTAATCTTGCCAGCTGTGGACATTATAACTTATTTTCAGTTTGGGAAATTTAGTAGGCTGAAAAATGGTATTTAATTGGCATTTATTTGATTTGGAAATCATTGAACATGTTTCCATGACAGTTAATATCTTACATCTGGTTATACTTTTAATTGTTCAGAATATCTTTATTGCTCTCATCTTATGGACACTGATTCAGATTTATATTTGTGACTATTATTTGCCAGGAGCTGGGTCAGTTCCTTCCACATAGGTTTTTTCATTTGATCCTTAGAACAGTCCTGAGTGACCCTATTTAGAGATGGAAATACTGAAACTCAAAGAGGTTATTTCGTCCAAGTGATAGAGTTGTCCTTCAAACCCGGTCTTCTCACTATACATCTAGCACCCTTTTCACTTTCCTAATTACTAACCTCATTTTACCAGTGTGTAAACTAAGGGCAGATCTTATATTATTTATGCAATGGCAGATAACCGATTAGTATAATATCTAACCCAATGCCTTAAGCACAGTAGTGCTTAGTAACTATTTCTTGAATTGAATTGACAGAGCCATGGCTAGAATTCAGTCTCCTGCCCTTTAGCTAGATGTTCTTATAAACCCTGTTCTATAAAATGGTTAGAGCATAAAATATTATAAACTAAAAATATTTGTCTTTAGAAATCATTTTAACAATAACCTAAAGGGGAAACTTGTCTTCTAAGGACTTCCTCGTTCTGCCCATCTTCCTGACAAGACTATGGCTGATAGCAGTGATGAGTATGAAGAGGAAAATAACAAGGTACAGTATAACCCACTGCGTCTTGGGGAATTTCTGCTTTGAGTTTTTAGTAGTGAGTTTGACATGAGACTAGTTCAGTAGTAAACATTTCTTGAATGCTCACCTCCGGTGGCTGGGTACCTTTGAGCTCATGGAGGAAAATCAAGAGCAAAGAGCCTTAAGATGTGAACTCTCCCTCGGGAATAAAGCCTACCAATACAGCTGACTTTTTGGTGAGGAATTTCATATAATGTAGGCCAGCGTTTCACAAATTTCACTGATCATAAGAATCAAGTGGGGAACTTATTTTTAAAAATACAGATTCCCAGTCCCCACCCAGAACTACTGAATTAGAATCTTGAAGGTAAAAGCCTGGGAATTTATATTTTTGGCAAGCACTCCAAGTAATTTTTATGATAAAGCAAGTTTGGAATTATTGGTCTAGGCATTTGTTCATTATCAACACTTGTGATACTGCCAATATTTTGTAAAAGAGACTTTAATTTTGAAGTCTTAAGACCCAGATGTCACTTGTTGTTATTCTGTGAACCTAGAGAATCACCCCTGTTTCTGAAAGAAAGATGGAAAGATGTCTACAGCTCTAGCCAGATAGACCTTCAAGTAGCACATATTCTCTGCTTAATAACTGTTGTGTTCAGCCTTAGCACATGGTCCAATGGTTACACTGTAATTGTCCTTCAAGAATAGGCACTTTGAAAGCTCAGGTGAAGAAGAATTTTTGAAATAATGCAGAAAGCTGTAGTGATATAGATTGATATCATAAAAAGCCTAAAAGGTAACATGTTAAGGTAGCCCCACTTTGTGACTAGTATGCTGCTTTAACATTTTACCCAGAGTAATTTTTTAGGCATTTGTCTGTCGTATATAAAGTCTTCTGCCTTTAGATCAGGAATTTTGCAAAGCACAACTTTGTAGAAGCAGACAAAAGAAAAGTGTACAATTTTCCTAAAGTGACCCCCTAATTTTGTATATTCACCCTAAATTTTTCTAGTCTTCATCATGATTTGGTCAATATTCAAGGCTCATTTATCTTTCCAATTTAGTGTGTACCCAGAATCAGCATAAAGGGTCCATTTTTGAGTAGTCTTTAAATTGACAGTCAATATTCTTAAAGAGCTCCCTTTGCCAAACTGCTTCCCATGTGACCAAAGATAATTTTGGCAGACTTTGAATTAAGAAAGAACACTATAGGAGATTCTTATCAGTTGTATACCAATAAGGCATAGTCACAGAATAAATTTTGCAACTGTGTGTCATGTGTCACACCTATTACAGATTAGTTAAAATATATTTTTATCTATGTATAATACATCTGTGTTGTGCTTAGAGGAAAATGTGACCAAAAACAGATTTTGATGTCCTGTACTGTATGACAATTTTATGTGCCAATAGCTGCTTTACTGTAAAAGAAATGTTAAATGATTTTTAAAACTAGAACCAGAAATCTATTAACGTCAGTATAAGCCATATGGCATATGGAAACCAAGCTTTCACAACCTACTTTTAAAGGGGGCCAATTGGTCATCCTTCAGGTCCTAAGTGAGGGCATGCCACAGGCTCCAGGCCACAGAGGCAAAGACATGGATCCCGTCCCAACTGCCCCTGCAAACCCCAAGCGTCACCAGACCCCTTCTCATGGACTTGAGAGGGTGGGATGGTACCTAGCGAACCAGAAGCTCAGAAAGGTAGGTTATAATGCCAAGACAGAAGAGTCTGTTATCTTGACATATAATGTGTACTCATTGCATTTAACTTAAGGGGGAAGGGAAGGGAAGTATGGATAGTCAGATACCCACTGAAGAGAAGTATCACTGAATGGAAATAGAAAACCCACAGTCTCTGGAACTGCTGGTCGGAATTCAGGCACACGGTTGACTATGACATTTCTTCTGTTGATAGTTACAAGCAGTTTACTCTGGGAAGTCTTGCAAATTAAATCTAGATTTCCTCCCTGTGATCTTTGTGAGTATTAAGATCCCCTAAAGTTTGTCTTCCCCACTTCATCTTCCCCCATTTCCTCCCAAAATAACTATTTAGAGTTGCCTTCCTCTTCAAAAGTTCATAAGTTTTAGAGTTGAAGTTGACTGGATAAAGTTTATGCAGAGTTCTCGGGATCTCCTGAGTAATAGGTAAAATAGATATATATTGGATAAAATTTATCCCCAAGCCTCAAGTAGAGAAATAGAATATGGTTATGGAAAGTGGGGATCTAGTTTGCAGCCAAGCAGGAGCAGAAGAAGGTTCTCAGGCTCTTCTAGGGAGTGCTACCTTCTTTTTCTGATGGTTTGGTGCCAGGTGGGAGGGTATTGGTTAGAGCACTGGGAGAGAACTGGGCATAGGTACACTAAATTTCTCTTTATGTGGACCTCTCTATGCCTACCCTGCCCTATCTCAGGAGAAGAAGACGACCTCGAAGCTGACACCTCAGCGGGGCTTTAGTGAAAACGACGACGACGATGACGATGATGATGACTCATCTGAAACTGATTCTGATGAAGACGATGATGATGAAGAGCATGGGGCCCCTCTGGAAGGGTGAGGAAAGCCCCCTAGCCTAGGACACCCAAGGCAAGGAGGAAAACACCTCCTTCAAAATACTAGACCGGAGGACATCAGTTAGAACTGAAATTCCAGCATCTCTTTTGGTCTCCTCTATTTAGCATTTTCAGATGTCTCAGAAGGCCAAAATGATGAGTTTTCATTCTTTTCTGGCTCCACAGCCTCACTGAGTCCTGTGATGTCACTTGCACTATCTGAAACATTAGTGGGCTCAGAGATTTCAGTAGAATTTGCTGAGTAAATCTGAAAGATGGTCCCTGACTTTAAGGAGTTCACATTCTGGAAAAGAGAAAAATAAATTTCTATACATAACAAAGCATTTCTGTTTAGCAAGAAAAACATTCATCCACAGGAGCATTTCTGTTTCAGGCCCAGACCTTTTTTTGGACAGGTAGAGAATAGGTGGTTCAGGAGCCCCATGTTTAGGCAAAATGTTCCTGGATGATGCTTTTTTTTTTTTTTTTAAAGATTTTATTTATTTTATTTTTTCCCCCCAAAGCCCCAGTGGATAGTTGTATGTCGTAGCTGCACATCCTTCTAGTTGCTGTATGTGGGACTCGGCCTCAGGATGAACGGAGAAGCGGTGCCTCGATGCGCACCCGGGATCCAAACCCGGGCCACCAGCATCGCAGCGCGCGCACTTAACCACCAAGCCACAGGGCCGGACCATGGATGATGCTTTATTGAAAAGCTTCTCACCTTGTTCCAGCCCTGGTGCTAGATTAGTCATGACCCGTGCTATAGGTTTTAATCAAAGTGGATTCAAAGGCCCATCCATTTAAAATACAATTACTGGTTAAATAAATTATGATGTGGCCAATCAGTAGAATTCTGTCTTACCATTAAAAAGTATGAGGCAGCAACTCTATGCACTGATAAAGAACAATCTCAAGAGATATTGTTAAATTTTAAAAATGTATAGAAGTGTTTATGCTGTGCTACCACGTGTATAAAACAAATATTACATAGACTCTAGGATACACTAGAAACTAATAATAGTGATTCCTTTTGGGAGGGGAACTTGGTGGCAAGGGGACAGGAGTGGAAGGGAGACATAACTTTTCACTGTATACATTTTGTTCCTGTTATTTTGTATCATGTGCATGCATCATTTATTAAATAAAGTAGTTTAATAAAAATAAAAATAGCTACCTTTGGATTATCCACCTCCAGGTAGACACTAAGTAAATCAGGCAAATGTTTAATCCCAGACTAACTTTCATGCTTCCCGACTTCCTTCATGGTCATATCCTGCTTCTATAAGTTATAATCTGGGGAAATGTAAACTTTAAGTCATTAATCTATATAACTTTTTTGTTAAGCAACTCTTCCCACAAGAACCTTATTAATAATTTTCCAATCTCATATACTTTGCCAATGTTCATTACATTTTACTTAAATATAATTAATATGTGTTCTACTAATTTTTTTTACTGTATATATTTCATGTATCAATACAAGTATTTTAAAATAACTATGCAATATTCAATTTGACATACCTACCATCCCTCAATTGTTGGATATTTTATTTGTTTCTAATTTTTTACTTTTATAAACAACACTATGAAAACCATCTTTATAAAATTCCTTTTTTTCTTGGGGCAAACTATTTTCATGTCAGAAATTAAAATCTCATTCCATCTTTTCTCTTCATCCCTTTCATTCAAAAAAGGAAAAATGATTGCTACATTCTAAAATTTTAAAAAATTATGTTTTGCATTTTCTGCAGCTCTGTTCTTCTTCATTGTCAGAGATAACTGAGAGCTAATTATAATCAATTTTGGAGTTGCCTTGCAAACCACCCAGGAAAGGCAGATGTGGGCATGGCAGAAACTAGGTTCAGAGTCAAGTGCCCTGTAGTCAGAGTAACACAGGCGGAACCAGGGATCAGCCACATCTGCTCTTCACGGGCCATTTTGAACCATATTTTCCTTTTCCCAGGGCCTATGATCCTGCAGATTATGAGCATTTGCCAGTTTCTGCTGAGATTAAGGAACTCTTCCAGTATATCAGTAGGTGAGTACTAGGACCTCCAACCATAACCCCCAGCCCTACCTTGCTCTTTCCTACCTCTAGTCTGAAGCAGGGCCATTCTCCATATATTTTTTTAGCCTGAATAGTAAAGTAAGTTTCTCTGACTGTCTCCACCTCCCCTTGGCAATATCTCCTAGGTACACACCTCAGTTGATTGACCTGGACCACAAATTGAAACCTTTCATTCCTGATTTTATCCCAGCTGTTGGGGATATTGATGCATTCTTAAAGGTATGGTCAGAACATCCTAAAAATGACTCCTGAGGTGTTTCTTCTGACCCCTCCATTACTCTAACACTTCTGCTAATTCCCTTGACTAGCACTGCCTACCTTGGTATATATTCTTCACTTCATTGGAGTTCTTAACTTTGCTCTCTACTCCAAATTATACTCATGGCTATTAGGTAATACTTGATTATCTCATTATATGTTAAAAATTTGTCACGTATTTGCCTCGTAATTATGCGTGACTTTAGCTTTATATTTAAGGCCCTATAGATCATGTATTTTTTTCTAGATAGTATTTTAGTACAGCATGATATGCAGCCATGCTTTTCAATACTAGTAATAATGATGAACCAGAGAGTTCTTTCTCTTCAGTTTATTGGAAGCAACAAGCGTGGCCTTTTTATGTCCCTCTCACTTTTCTCTCTGCTTTCTTACCTTTCTCCTAACCAGGTCCCACGTCCTGATGGAAAGCCTGACAACCTTGGCCTGTTGGTGTTGGACGAGCCTTCTACAAAGCAATCGGACCCTACAGTGCTCTCACTCTGGTTAACAGAGAATTCTAAACAGCACAACATCACTGTAAGTCACTAGCCTGAAACAGGCACCAGCTGGAGAGGGCTGAGAGCGGAGGCCTTGTTGGTTATTTGTACAGTTGACTTACTGCCTATCAAAAGGGATGGCTGTGGTTTTGGGCCAGCCTTATTTTTTTTGTGTGTGTGTGTGTGAGGAAGATCAGCCCTGTGCTAACATCTGCCACTCCTCCTCTTTTTTTGCCGAGGAAGACTGGCCCTGGGCTAACATCCGTGCCATCTTCCTCCACTTTATATAGGACACTGCCACAGCATGGCTTGCCAAGCAGCGTGTCACTGCGCGCCTGGGATCCGAACCGGTGAACCCTGGGCTGCTGCAGCGGAGCACGCGCACTTAACCACTTGCGCCACTGGGCCGGCCCCCAGCCTTATTTTTTAAATAACAGTTTTATTGAGGTATAATTTACCTACCATAAAATTCGCCCTTTTAAATTGTACAGTTCAGTGATTTTTAGTGTATTCACAGAGTTGTAGAACCATCACCACTATCTAATTTAAGAACATTTTCTTTCCAAAAGAAACCCTGTACCCATTAGTAGTGACTCCTCATCCCCCCCTGCTCCTATCCCCTGGTACCTACTTCATTCCTTTTTTATGGCTGAATAATATTCCATTTTATGGACATACCACATTTTGTTTGGCCATTCACTAGTTGTTTCCACTTTTATTACTTATACTGCTATGAACATGTACAAGTTTTTACATGGACATATATTGTTATTTCTCATGGACATATATGTAGGAGTGGTATTGTTGGGCATATGGTAAGTGTTTAACATTTTGAGGAACTGCCAAACTGTTTTCCAAAGTGCCTGAACCATTTATAATCCCACCAGCAATGAATAAGAGTTCCAATTTCTCCACATCCTCACCAACACTTGTTATTGTCTGTCTTTTTTATTCTAGCCGTTCCAGTAGGTGTGAAATTGTGGTCAGTCCTATCCTATTGATATGCTGCTTTCCCATGGCTCCAGAGAATTTTATCAGGGTTTTCTATAATCTTCCTTTGGCTGCTGTCAGGCTTCCCTTTTCATCACCTGCCTTGTGTATGACATAGCAGCATGTGATGAGCCACTCTGTAAAAATGAGAGAGCTACTTCACTGCTATCAGCCAGGCTTTCCCCTTATTTTTCTAGCAACATATGAAAGTAAAGAGCCTGGAAGATGCAGAAAAGAATCCCAAAGCCATTGACACATGGATTGAGAGCATCTCTGAGTTACATCGTTCTAAGCCCCCTGCGACTGTGCACTATACCAGGTATGAAATACCACATTCTTCACCACAGTAACCCATGGTAACCTTCACCACCTGTGAGCCCATTGCTTCTGAGAAGAGGGCCCGAAAGCAGGGGACACGTTTGATCAACCTGAGGTCCTGCGGATCCTGGCAGCAACTGGCTGAGATTGCAGACCTAAAGATTGTAGTTTGTCTGGTATTATTACTTAGCCAGCTCCTCCCAACCTCAGGCTCTGGGTAAGTTTGGTCTGCCCAGTCTGTGTTCTCCTGAAATCCTAATGTGCCAGGTTGAAAACCTCCCTTCATCTTAGAATATTCTGTTCCGGAAGTTGCTGATATCATCAGTCCATGTTTCTTTTTCATATGCACCTCTATACTTTTAGGCCCATGCCCGATATTGACACGCTGATGCAGGAATGGTCCCCAGAGTTTGAAGAGCTTTTGGGCAAGGTGAGTGGAAGGTAGTAGGAGCTAAGAAAATGTGGCATTCACTCTAGGGCCCAGGCTTTTCTCTCTTCCTGTATTATTATTATCATTAACTTTTTTTTTTTTTTTTGAGAGGAGATCAGCCCTTCTTCCTCTGTTTTTTTTTGCTGAGGAAGACTGGCCCTGGGCTAACATCCGTGCCCATCTTCCTCCACTTTATATGGGACCCTGGCACAGCATGGCCTGCCAAACAGGGCGTCGGTGCACGCCCGGGATCTGAACCGGCGAACCCCGCGCTGTTGCAGCAGAGTGTGCGCACTTAACCGCTTGCGCCACCGGGCCGGCGCCTATCATTAACTTTTTTTTTTTTTTTTTTTAAGATTTTATTTATTTAATTTTTTCCCCCCAAAGCCCCAGTAGATAGTTGTATGT